GTTGGGACATATTTAAACCCAATTATAGCCTCAATTCCCCTCACTTCATCAACCTCCATCCTCTTAGCATGTTTTTGCAACCCTAATCCATCGTAAGAGGCATTTCTAAGCTTCAGTGTGTTTGTTTTGTGCTTTTGAAGAAGAAGGAAGGGCAGAGAGGCCACCTTGGAAGAGTGAAGCTCTTTAGATGCAGGATCACACCACCTTTTGGCACCATTTTAAGGTATCAGTTTTTGAACTTGGTGAAGTTTCATTTAGAACTTGTGTTGGAATGGTTTTTGGTCCTTTTTGTCCCAAATTTGGAGATTCATTAACATAGCATGTTCTTGACGCATTAAGTTATCCTTTCAAACCTTTGAATGGGTCTTGAGTCATAAAAATGGGTTCCAAATGGTTGTTTTTTCTTCATGCATCATTTAGAAGATCTTAAGGGATTAAGAAGTTAAGTTAAGCACTTAATGGACATGAAAAGTAATAAAGTTGGAAACTTTACGAGTCTTGAGGGTATTTTTGCCATGGATCTGAAAGATGGATGTGAGTGCTTAAGCTATTAAGCTCTTAATGAGATTTTGGGGATCTGGGAGTACACCCCACATACTTGGGGTACGCATCGCGTACGATGTTAAGCACCTCGATGATGGTTAGCGCTTGAGTACACCCAACGTATGTTGGGAGTACGCCCTACAGACTCACTCTGCGTTGACTCAGCTGAGCTGAATCAACTGGGTTTACTCGGCTGGGTTGACTCAATTGACTTGGTTGATTTGACCAGTTTGACTTTGACTTTGACCAATTTTAACTTAAGAGTATTTTGGGATTTTGTTTGAGATTGGTCATTTGGTTGAATTCATGACGGTTAGAGCTGAGATTCGGAGTCGAGACCTCATCAGCTTTTGTCCAGTCTGTGAGGTGAGTTTTCCTCACTGTACTTACGGGTCGAAGGCACCAATGCCAGCCCATTAGATTAGATATCATGTGATGTGATAGTATGTTATGATGTTGTTGTGATCTATTAGATCGGTATCTTGGTATATAGGATGATGTTATCCTTAGTGATCTATAGATCTGCCTTATTGTTTATTGACTAGTTATATGTGTGTTTATCTATTATGTATATGTCTACATGTTGTGTGGGGTTGGGTTGAGAGTTGAGACATACCAGTGTAGACTGAAGGCCAAGAGACCCAGGGCGTCCCGAATAGACTGAAGGCCTGAGAGGTATCACAGTCAGGCCGAAGGCCCAGCATACGGTCCAGATAGGCTGAAAGCTCGGTGAGGCGTTCCATTCATGCTAAAGGTTCTATGAGCGGTCAAGATAGTCTGTAGGTCGGCGCGACGTTCCAATCGGGTTGAAGGCTTTGTATGCATGTTTTTTGTTATTGTGTTTATGTGGTGGTACTTTGCGCAAACTCACTAAGCGTTGGCTTACAGTTTTTGGTTGTGGTTTCAGGTACTTCGGATGATCACGGGAAGGCGAAGGAGTGACTGTACACATCCTCTTGTTTATGACTTATGATTTTAGGAGACTCTAATGTTTGGAAAAATATTTTGAAAACTATGATTTGTAAACAATTTATGATTTTCGGTGGATTTTAAAAGTTTAAATTTCTTGTGATTTTTATGGATGTTACATCTATATAGTTTTAGGTTTCATGCAAGGGGTTTTGCCCTATTTCTCCCATTTTGACCTAGTTTGTAGTATGACATCCATTGGACATGCATATCCATAAAGTTAGGGTTTTAATGGTCCCTAAGGATGCTAAGAAGCATTCTGGAATATATGAAGGTTTGACTTAATGGATTAAGATATTAGCAAAAATATGGATCTGCCAGGGTCCCCACTACGTAGCAAGGATCATGCCATGACGTGGTGGGAGAACCTGTCATGATTCTAATGAAGCTAGACCATGGCGTGGCAAGTTCATTTCCATGACATAATATCATGTTTCATATGCGACTATTTTTTCGTGTGGTAGCCACGACACGATCAGTAGTTGGCCACAACATAGTGACTAACCACTGACCATTGACTTTCGATTGGTTGACTTTTAGTCAAATTGTTAGTTTTAGTTGGTAGAATAAGATTTGGCCTTTTGTGATTCATTAGGTGGTGTGTAGTACCAACTTCCCAACTTTGTGAGTTGTGGTTTAGTATACTTTGATTAGCGAGGGAGTCTTCTCACTATACTATGTAGAATGTTAGATTTTCTTTATGAATTTTGCATGAAAATACCACGGGAGAAGCATGGGAACTGTATGAAAAGACCATGGAGGACCATGGAAACTATATTAAAGACCATGGGAGAACCATGGTAGGAAAGACTAAAGGAGGAATGCAACAACGAAAGTGATTGTAAGATTGTGGAAGGACCATAACATTGACCTTATATGTATTGACATTTATGGTATATGGTATTTTAGGGAACTTACTAAGCTTTGTGCTTACGGTTTTATGTTTAAATGGTTCACATACTTCTTGTAGCAAAAGGAAGGGAAGTGTCCCACATGATTGTGTTGCATCCATTGAGGATTCCACATTTTTGTTTTATGATAGTCTGATGTTTATTTTGCAAACACTTTTATTATTGTGATGATATTTGATGAAATGGAATGAATGGTTTTTAGTTACTTAAAATTAAAAAAAAAAATCTATGAGTTTTGGGACTTTTACAAGTAGTCTCAACTCATAAAGAATCTCAAGAAAACTTAGTGTGTCATAGAAAATGTACTTATGAAGACTCAACAATCTCAATTCCCAAAAAAATATATTAAAATACATAAATATTTGAGTAAAAACTTTGTTCGAAAAGAAAATTATGGACTCAATTTCTATTTCATAATTAACTGTCAAAAGGATATCATTTTCTTATACAAAGAGAACTAGAAAGAAGTGCCACTCTTTTGTTTAAAATATAAAGAATAATCATTTTTTCCGTGAATAAGACCAAACTCAAGCAAGGATGGTGTAATATATATATATATATATATATATATATATATATATATATATATATATATATATATATATATATATATATATATATATATTAAAAAAATAAATCTTAGGAATAGTAAAATTGTCATTTTTTTTTTGCAACTTTGCTCGTATTTTTTGGTCATTTTGATACTTTTGGTCATTGCAATCAATAATTTTACATTTTTTAGGAACCTTCTAATATTTAAAGTTGGTCACAAAACTTTAACGGTTTGACAACTTTGATCTCTTTTCGAAAAAGTTGTTAATTCATATCCCTTTAATTCTTTAGTCATTTTGACACTTCTGGTCCTTGCAGTCAAAATTTTTACATTTTTTTATAAAAACATGAAATAAACGGTTTGTAGTAAAGTCCGGACTTTTCATCCTTGCACTTTCTACATCTGTCATATTTATCGATTCGGAAACAATATTGAAAGCTTCTGGCCCCTGCGTAGCGAGGGTAACCTTTCTAGTTTTTTCATTATGTTTCCTCGGGTCTTGTTTAAGTGTATACCATGAATTAAATATTTTTTTATTTCTTAAGAGGTAAAATGTTTGCACTCTACATCTACAGTCTTCAAGACAAATACTATTTGTTTTGTTGTTTAACATATGTAGCCGATTAAAATAAATTATAATATAAATCAACTAATTTTTTAAATTTCAAAGAGTCTTTCACCACTGAAATTTAATAATTTATGGCTTTACAAAATTGAAATATACATCATACAATAACATTAACATTTGTTTATAAAATTATTCATTCCATATTTTGCATTAACTGATAAACAATTTCATCATTTAACGGAGTCATATATTCCAAGTTCGTTGCACGCCTGCACTACCATATCCTTCAAACAAGTAAACGTTTCAAGAAATTTAATTAGACTCATCTATCTGTATCAAATAGTTAAATAAATAACAATATTGGCTAAATATCAACAAACCAACGTTTAAGCTTTGTGTAAATTGATCGGTTATTTGAATGACTTAAATAAATCTAAAATTATAGGTTTAAATTGAAAATAAATAAAGTTATTTATTATTTTTAATATATTAAATAGAAAAGAAAAAGAAAAAGAAAAAATGAACGTAAAAAAAAAAAAAAAAAAAAAAAAAAAAAAAAAAAAAAAAAAAAACGTGTGTTTGTATTTGTTTATGTCTTAAGTATTTTTATTTTTAGTTTTATCTTCAAGATGTTTGCTATAAATGTTTTCTTGCACATAGACTTTGGTCCATGTCTTTTTGGAGAAGAAGACGTGTAAACGTTAACAGTGTACAAAAACACAAACATAGATGTGTTTCTGCCCACAAGCATAAGTACTCGCAACGAGTTTTTTCATATAAAAGAAAACACCACCTTAACTAAATTGTATATCTTTTTAAAATATTTTAGAATATAACCTTGAACAGATACATATAAAACTCCTCTTCAAGTGGTCCAGATGTAAATATATTATTTGCATCTCTGACAATGTTTCAACTAAAATTCACACTCATGCTAATCATACACCAAACAATAACAAGTTTTGCAACATGCAAGAATGTCTCATCAAAATGAAGACCTTATAGACCATAATTTATTGGTCACTTGGTGATGGTTAATAAATAGGAAAAAGTACGTTGCCTCATCTTTTAATTGGCAAAGGGGGAATACTTTAAGCCTTTTCTCAAATATATGAATTTCATTATTATAACTACATTTTATTTACATACCTATTTAAGCCTAATAGGTTGCATCTCATTCGGTAATTTTGTTACAATCCAAGTCCCATTTCTATTTAGAGACTATATTTCCTTATTCATGGTTCTAAACTAAATTGGGTTTATAAGAGTTCCGTAACAACATTTAGGTTCAATAGAATTATTTAAAATAGACACATATCACAAATTCTCAGAACTCAAACTAGCGTAGGCAACTACTCTTTCAATACTAACCTTATGTTTTCCCTTCACTACATAATCATTATATTTGGAAGGTAATGATGTGACCTCGTCTCTAAGGCGATGTTCTTCACTAACAATGATTACTCCGGTGAACCTGCAAGGCCACAACAGGGAAGAATCATCAGCCGTTCACCAGGAGGGGGTCACAGGAAATCGCTCTAACGGTCAAGTCAGTGGGTATACTTGGATTTTTTTGGCTTTAACTAGGAGAGAGCGACTTACCTCTCTGGGCATTGGAGGAGGCATTTTATACTGAGGCCTCGTGCCAGTCCGTACGAGACAATAGCTTCAGACTTGAAAGGTCGGGCGCGCGGATTGGGTAATCGTGCTCCTTGTTCTGTTAGAGCTAAAGATTGGTTCAGGTAGTAATACGTTGAGCATCCCCTTGTCTTTTGGACCTATGATGATTTGTCGCGGAGTAAAAGGCACCTGTGTCAGTCGAGCCTTCTCTGCTGGTGACCTATGCTTAGCGGCCCCCGCGGGCGAGAGGTTCTATCGGGCTTGCTCTATTAAGCATGGGTCTACCTTGGGGAGTTCTCTTGTGCGTCTGAGCGCGAATCCCGACTCGTGCTGGAGTCACGTCATCAAGTCCCATAGTCCAGTAGTCGTAGCGTTTCTAGACTAGCTATGATGTTCTGGAATTAACTTCTTTGTACGCGTATTGAGTTCTAATTCAGTCGGCGCTTCGATTTTTCCGGTGACATGACCTCCATTATGACAGTCAGTTACACCATTGTGTCATGGATTTGAATATTCTGTCTTTCCTTATTCTTTATAAAGGTAAGGATCATGTTTATCAGCATACGCTTTTTTTCTTGTCTTTCCTTTCCCCTCTACTGTAATAGCTGCTCAGCCTTGTGTTACTCCTTCTGATGTCGAATTTAAGCTTCTCAATGACGCTTATGGATTTTCCTCGACTGATGATGTAGAGGTTCCGACAGCTGACTCAATGATTCTCTCCCCTCCTGTCGACAAGGTTGGCATCTACCTGAAGACTTTTGACGCTGGTTTGCGCCTTCCTCTCACTGACTTCCAAAACGAGCTTCTTCAGAAGAACGGTTGTGGTATTCAAATGCTTACCTCAAACGTTGTTAACAAGATGGTGGCGTTCGAGAGTATCTGGCGGGCCAATGGTGTGCCTCCTACTTCCTTTGTGTAACGACCCAAAATTTAAGACCAAAAATTTCTTTTAATAAATCATTACTTAAAGTAAAGTCGTCATTCCAAAACATAATATGAGTATAAGTTTTCAAAACACATGTTCATTATCAGAGTAAACATTACCAAGCTGTCTAATCTATGGTGTGTGCCATGCGATCACCCCGAGCTCTTCCCTCCGCTACCGGAAGTACCTGAAACCAAATCTGAAAACCGTAAGCACGAAGCTTAGTGAGTTCCTCATCCTACCACATACCATGCATAACCACATACTGCACATACTGGGCCACCCCCGCTATCTTGGGCCTCGCTCCCTACCTCGGGCCTCACCCACTACAACGGCCCCGCCTGGCTTCGAGCCCCGCTGGGATACAGATCTATTTTACTTAGGCCCCTCCTGTTATAGGGCCTCTCCCGCCAACAATTAATATCACATAAACATATCACAACACATAACTAAACACATACAACTGGTTCTGTCCTAAGGCCTCGCTCATTTACTACTACTGATGAGTCATGGAACCCCGTCCACGCTCCTAGTGGTAGTGAGATACGGGCCCAGCCCACCCTCACTCCTTTCCTAACTTGGGCCTCGCCCCTGTTATGCGACTATTGAGATGTGGAACCCTATCCACACTCTGCTATTGGTGAGATATGGGACCTCGCCCACACTCACGCCCCTACCAGGCACATACATGTATCACACAGACAACAAGTATAAACTATCATATAAACAAATCCTTGGGCACTCGCCCGCTATTACTGGACCTCGACCTGAAAATCATACTAACATATTGTGCCTAGGGCTAACCCCCGGGTCTTCTACTCATAACTACATGGGTCGACATTGTGGCCATAGACCCATTCACACAAAGGGAAACTCACCTGCACTGGCTAAACTTGCTGATGATCTCACTAGCTGATGCCCGGCAACTCACTGAACTCCTGCTCCCCTTGCTCCCTGAACTACCAATATCAATGCAACACTGAGTCTAACTGACCCCCAAAAGACAACCAAGTCAACCCTAGTCAAGGTCAAAGTCCTGGTCAAAGTCAACCTTCCAGGTCGACCCTACTCGCCGAGTCACCCTACTGACTCGCTGAGTTCAAAATGATCAGATTCCTTCCATTCGCGACTCAACTCGCCGAGTCAGTCCATGACTCGCCGAGTATGCTGATTTCTGAGTCCTAACCTGTCCAACTCCCCGAGTCTCCACCCGACTCACTGATTCGAGTCTCAACTCGAAGGGTTTGGGGGTTTCGCGACCTGACTCGCTGAGTCCAAGAACAGACTCGCCGAGTACAAGGCAATCTTCATATGACTCGACGAGTTGTTCATCCCACTCGTCGAGTTTCTCCACAACTTCATGCTACTCGCCGAGTCCACTCAAAGGACTCGCCGAGTCCATTCAGATCTCCTTACATGCAGAAGACTTTTGAGTCATGCATGAACTCCAAACTGTAGATCTACCCTTCCCAAGCCTACTCCCCACGTAAAGTTGCAAACTTTACGTGTAGAGAAGGAGATCTAGGCAAAACATGCTATAAACTAGGGTTTAAGGCAAAGAGGCTCCATGATCCACTCAAGGGTTGATACTTTACGGGGTTTTAGATCAAAATAAGCATGGATTTGAGGTAGCAACCTCAGATCTGAACCCCTAGCTCAAAAGGTTACTCTTGTGCCATGAATGCCCAAATACACACATAGATCTAGGTGCAAATAAGGGAAAATAGCAGCTTGTTACCTCCAAAATGAACACCACTGAAGTAGATCCTGGATCCACACCTCCTCCTTTGAAGCAACCTTCTTGATCTTCAAGTTCCTTTCCCAAAGTTCCTTCCTCCAAGCTATTTCTCTCAAATGATGGAAGCTCACACGAAATCAAGGGTGTACTGGTTCTCTAGGGTGATATGGGGGCTGAGGGAGGGACATAACACCCTTTAAATAGCATACAACTCCCGGGATTAGGGTTTTCCTCGTTCAGACCAGACTCGCCGAGTCACCTTGGCCGACTCGCCGAGTCGGTTACTTACTCCTCGACCCGGATCCCGCTCGGACTCGCCGAGTCCCTCCTTGAACTCGCCGAGTCTACCCTTAAAATTAGAGCTTTTCTTTCCTTTCTTGGCCTTCAAAACTTTGGGTGTTACACTTTGTCTTCAAGTTCATTTTCTGGTTTAGTGCTACCGGTGAAGAGTATATGATCTCCGCTCGATGCGGTGGTCACGTCTTGGTTCCTGACAGAAAAACCCTCAATAATTGGTAGGACAAAGTGTTTGTGGGTCAACCAAGATTGAGTTGGTCGTGGGCACTACCGAGCAACTGACTTCTCCGATGTTACTCCAAAACTGTTTCCCCATAATCAGGTTATTGCTGATCTTCAGAAGACCATCCAGTTTGTGCATGAGGAGTACTCAGAGGCCTTGCTTGTTGGTATTGGGATGAGTCTCTCTTGGAGGAGTCTAGGGAAAATGGCAATCTTTTACCCTGTTGTTGATGGTAAGCGGCTTTTCTCTTATTCTCCTTCTACTCCCATCCCCCCCCCCCCCAACACTTTTTTTTGAAAAAAACGGGGAACTGGACCAGGGAATAGTTGTTGCTTTGCTTATGAGCTCTTCTTTGGTAGGTGTTGAGTCCCCTTTATCCATGGACGACGTCTTACGAAAGCGGTATCAAGGGAAATTGGAGCATAATGAGACTGACTTTTATGAAACTCTCCCTCCAACGTGCCATGCTGATAGGCTTGCCGTGAGTCCTACTTTGGTTACACTGGCCCTAGAAGGTTCTTCTATGACCATTGGGGAGTGACCTTTGGTCACTCAACCCATTACTACGGTCACCCCATCTCCAGTTACTGATCCTAATCAAATTGACATAGTGGAAGATAGCAAGGACGTCATTATCTCTGATGTCCGACGGTCTATTGCCAAGAGGAAATCCATCATCGCGATAGGAGAGGCCTCCTCCGACGTTTTCAATATCGGGAGGCGCGTTCAGTCAAGGCGAAATTTTTCTCGTCTGCTGAGCTCAATTTCCTTTACTCCGGAGGCGATCGTGGTGATCCCTGATGATGACACGCAATAGTCTGATGGGGATCAGGGTGCATCTAAGTAGCCCATTGTTCCAGTTCAATTTGCCTCATAATCCAATCCTAACCTTTCTTATTCCAGGGGCCTTGGTGGGGCTTCGCTTCATCAGGCTCCCGCGAGGGGAGGCACTGCAGTCCCAAACAATCCCGGCTCTGGTCCGTTTGTTCTTACTTGGAATTTGCAGAATTATTATCGGTTGTTTATGCATACTAATGTCATAGAGTTCCCCTTCCATGCCCTTCCACCAGCTGCCATTATTGATATGGATGCAATGGGTAATCCTACACTAGTCCACAATATGCCATAAGTTAATGTACATGTTATTTTTTACGTGGTCACCAGCTCCCACCGTGTCCAACTTCTACATGAGATGGAGGTTATCCATGATGGATGTACAGTTCGAGAAGCTAAGTTCAGGCACCAGATCCTTGAGCTTGAGAAGGATGCTCATGGTTTCGATCAAAAGTACGTTTTGTTGTCATCGAAGAAAGCTACTTTCGAAGAGGCTTGGGCCACACTTGAACGTAAATTGTATTCCCTGGTAAAGGCCAACGAGGGATTGATGATTCAAAACGAGAGCCTTGAGCGGGACGTTAGTGATTGTGACAAGCTTATCGATGAAATTCGAACAGAAGAAGTGTAACAACCAAAAATTTCAACAAAATTTAAACTTTTCAACAACAACCCATTTTAATAATGTTATTACAAAAAGGTTTTCAATACATTTATTATCAGAGTATTCCCAAAACCATAACACAAAACATAAACACAAGGAGCGGTACGATCACGCCTTCGCCTTGCCACGGTCTCCTGAAGAACCTGAAAAACATTAAACCACAACTGTAAGCCCGAAAGTTTAGTGAGATACCCCCAAAATACCAACCACATATACGCCCTTCCAACGCCCTTCCAGGCTACGGCCTTCCGGTCCAAATCAAAATGCCTTCCGGCCCATAACATAGTATACATAACCTAACATAACATAGAACAGCCATGCATATCGGTTCTACTGTGTGACTGGTCCGCCGTATCGGGCCTTCAGTCCACCGGGTCCGTCCTCCGAGTCTAGTCATGTCCTTCGAGTCTGCAGTGTGGTTGGTCCGCCCGCACCGGGCCTTCAACCCACCTGGTCCACTCTCTGAGTCTACAGTATGACTGGTCCGCACACATCGGGCCTTCAGTCGGCCTGGTCCACTCTCCAAGCCTCGGCACGTCTGGTCCGCCCTCGTGGGGCCTACAGCCTATCCGGACCGCTCGCTAGGCCTTCGGAATAACCGGTCCGCCCTGGGTATCTTGGCCTACAGCACAGACCAGGACCTGCCTCAACCCAACTCCAGTCCAAACAACAATGTGCACATAACATACAATCATATAACAGTTCATAGTCAGCAAGCCGATCAAGCAGATCACATAACATATCATCATCCTAACCAGGATACCGACCTAACCGGTCACTAGCATAGCATCACCCTACATATCAGGAAACCGACCTTAACTAGGTCTCTAACATATACCATCCTAGCTACCAGGATGCAGACATATCAAAGCAGTAACATAACAACAAATACCCGCATCTCAATCCAATAAAGGGCCAGCCTTGGTGCCTTAGGCCCTGTCGATATAGTGAGGATAACTCACCTCGCAAATGCCGATACTCTGAACTGAAGAAGCAGACTCTCGAATCACCAACTCACCAAAAATCCCGAACTAACCATCATAACAAAATAAACATTAGGCCAATCATACATCCACTTATCGGGCCAAGACCAAGGTCCAAATCTCATACAAAGTCCAATATTGGCCCAATTTACCAAATTGGGCCCACCTCACCAAATGGGCCTAGATCCAATGTCCATAACAATAATTGGGCCCAAAAATACTCTATCCATAATTTCCAGACTTGGCCCAAAAACC